AGCTGAACATTTTTTAAAACCGATAAGCGGTTATCGTTTAATTTTGTTATTATGGTAACCGGTAACCGTTTCTTTAAGGATATTTCAAAAACTATAATAACCGTTAATCGTTTAATAGCCGATGAATAAGGTTTTTTAGAAATCGGTTACCGGTTAAAACCGGTTTTTAAAAATCATATTTTTCAATTTTTTAATCATATTTTCAAAACCGTTTATATAGGCGATTCGTGGGTTGATAATATAACTTTTAATATTACAAAATCAAAAACTTAATATGCTTTAATTTGGTCAATTTCACTCAATTTCAGTATTTATTTTTTCAAACTGCTTTTAAGTTTAAAATATATTATGATCAAGATAATGATAATCAAAAAACTAAATTGCATAAAAAATTGTATTATTATAATTTTCTTATTTATAACGGTAAAAACTCGAAATTAAATATAATAATTTTCTAAGATAACACCAAGATTAATACATTGCCACAGAACTTTTTGGTTATATTGTATATAATACAGTACCCCAAAAAATTAATAAGCATATATTAAAACGACAGTAATAAAATATCATAAATACTAAATGGACTCTATTATTATTTTACTCTATTCCTCCAACTATTTCGTAATAGGAATCAGTACACCACGACTACGACGTTTATGACGATATTTATAATGTATAGTTATACCTATATATATGATATTCACAACAAATAAGCTATATTCGACAGTCATTAATTGGAGCTATTTGGGGCTAATTAATTAGAAAAAATATTTAAAAATAGCTGGAATATTAAATTCAACTATAATAGTATAGTATAATCATGACATAATTCAATTATTAATACCACGAAAAAACCATTAATTATTTTGGTCGGAAATAGGTTTTGGTTATAAAACCAGGATTGAAAATATGAGGTAATCGCTTTGATGTTGATACTTAGATATCTACTTTAATTACCGATAACCAATAATCGCTTCCAGCATTCCAAAACTAAAAGCAGTTATTTGGTTCTCAAATTTACGGTTTTTTACCGGTTTTCGTTACAAACCGGTTACCGGTTTTTAGCCCTGCAAAAATAGTTTTATCGTTGTTTGTGGATAGTGTGTTTCACGAACTAGTTACTCGTATTAAATCATAAAAGACCTATATATTTATGTTACAGTGCTCAATGCAATAAGTACACAATATTATTTGATACGAAAATTGAAAATGAAAAAACAATTAATTATAAAAATATTATAAAGTACTTTTTTAGTTTTTATAATTTTTTAAAATTCAGTTTTTTCAAAGATTTTTCTTTTTTGCTTACGAAAATTTAAACTTCACTGAAAAGTAATAAAGATCTAAATTTGATGAATATTAAATAAAAATCTGATGTTATAGCTGTTTATTTATTTTTTTAAGAATAATAAGTTTACTTCTATCCAAAGTACTACTAATGAGGGGGCTTTTCACACAAAAATTCTTTAACAACCATTAACAACTTACATTAATTTAAACATTTTCTTATAGATTATGTTATAAAAATATTAATACTAAAATGAAAAAAAATTGCATCCATGCATGGCCGATCGCTTTAATTTTAATTTATAATGACCATGACCGTTTTTAAAAATTATTTATACCAGGATAATTATAATTAATAATCATAATATCTTTAATAAAGACTATTAATGACAAAGTATATTCAATTATTTAAAAAACAAAGATTAATTTTAATGATAAATAACCATGGATACCTAACCATGCAACTAACAATTTGAAATTTAAACATAAAAGAAGAAGTTTTGATAATTTATCAAAATTATAATCAAAATCTATGATTAGAATTATAGTTTCATTACAACTTAATGATGGATATAAAAATAACTCTCGATTTTAATTTCATTTTTAAATAAAAAGCAGTCATAAAATGTTTTATATACTACGAGTTAACCGGTTTTGTAATTTGTTAAATCTTTGTTAGGATTAAGATATATATTTTACTTACATGCTATCATTAGCAAATGTAATATAATCATAATATTTGTTTTTATTATGATATTTATATTTTTCTGTACTTGAGCCAATTTTGGATTTCATTATATATTTTTAAGTTATTAAGTTATTAAGAAGTAATATTCAATTGAATAATATAAAAAAATAACTTTTAGAGTGATTCATTAAAAGTGAATTTGTCTAAACATACATAGATTAGGGCAAGAGTGGATTGTAAAAATGTTGATACATTATATTTACTTAAGGAAAAATATAAAATTAAAAATGCATTAATGTGGTGCTGTTATTGAAAGCTTAGCGAATATTAGAATATTAAATTATGTACAATGTAATTGATAGTAAAAAAATAATATTATTTTTAACCCGAAATCATTTGAAAAATTGTTTTTTTTTTTTTTACTTATTTATTACTTAGTCATTATTTATTATTCAATTTTAAATTAAAATTTTGATTTTAGTTTCGGTTGCTTCAAAAACGTTTTATAGGTTCTGGTTAAATATTTGGTTTAAATACTTTTAAACTAACCGGTCTTTTTCGGTTGGGTTCTAGTCCCTGCATCGAAGTACAGTTACAAAAAAAGTCTAATTTAATTCTTAGGCATCTAACATTTTAATAAATGATATGTCATTCTAAGAGTTTTATTTTTTTTTATTCATTAAGTACAATTTTAAGAACTTCTTTAATAGATTTAATTGTTAAATCTGGCATCTTTGGCAGGTGTTACCAAAGTTTGTTACATAGATTTTTCGTAGAATCTCATTGAAACTGAGTGTTTTCGAATTTGAGTTGATACATGTTGACCTGATAATTTTTATTACATTTGATAATTTCGAATGCATCAGCAGGCAAGGAAAATATTAATTTAGTGGATTATTATCGTTACGATATCTTCCGAAACAAATGACCTTCACTGGTCTAACTTTGGTGTCTGAGATAATTGAACTAATATTATTTATCTGTTCTAAATCAAATGTGATTCGGACTTAGACATGATTTGGTTCACTATAGGCCAGGAATGGCAAACCTTTTGAACAATGCGTGCCAAAAATTTACCTTTTTTTTTTTTTTTATGGAGCGTGCCATGAAAAAAATATTAAAAACATTATATTTTATTATATTATAATTGGATTGTATAATTAATGTATTAGTATAAAAAGATTAGTTTAGATACATAATAATAATAATAATAATAATAATATTGCTTTGTTAATTATTTATATTATATTATATTATAAGTCCTATAATATTATATATTTTATAATATCTATGAGTAAAAATTTTCGCGTGCCATGGGTTTGCCATCCCTGCTATAGGCAATATTATAAAATATAAGATAGAAACACGTATATTTCGATAATGTATGTCATTTATTACATATGCATTATCAAATGAATTATCAATCGGTTGAAGCTTAACTTTTAACTGATATTCCACATCAGTAAGAAGTTTTTTTAGTAGTAATTTAGTTGTAGTTAGTAGTTAAGTTTATTTATTAAGTCATTGACTGCATGAAGTACAAAAATATTTTAAGTTCCTATTTTTGATTGTAAACTATTTTATTTCGGTTGCGGTGAGGCCCTAACATTTACCTACTATGAACGGATTGTGAGCACCTATCGCATCTTATTGGGAAGTCTGAATCACCGAAATGAGAACTGAATTTGAAACAAGTTTAATTAGGTACCATTTATTTAAATAGAAATGTGTTTTTTTATTTTATTTTTTTTAACAGAAAAAGAGTAATATGGTGAAATAAGACGATTTAAATTAAGATATGAGAGCAAGCAATTATAACATTTTCACACACTATAACGGTCAACTGACGACTGCCAATTTTAAACTTGTTTCCTATGTAATGTATTTAATGAATATTACTTTAACGCTGAGCTTTTTTTTTTTTTGCAAATAAAATGTAATTCATACAGTCAATGATGTTATATCTCAAAACACAACAGAAGTTCGTAAAGTAAGTGAATGTTCTTTATGAAAACATAATAATAGTTAATTTTTACATATTTATACCCCACGGTTTGACTGAGCTTTTCATAGTTTCAATTCGGCTGCAAAAAAATGATTAATGGATAATATTTCTTCTTCCTTAATCCATCAACTCTTATTTCAATATTTGTACATCATAAAATTAGTCATGAATACACAAATCGCTTTATATATTTTAGATGTTTTTTATTCTCATCAACAATGATGAATATATATAAATTGTTAAGAAAAAATTATTAATTGTGTTGTAAATAATAATATTTTAACACAAAACGATAATACCTATATGTTTGTATAAATATTTTTTAGTAGTTATTTTTAAATCTTTTGATTCTCATTGTAGCATAAAATTAGTTATATGGTAATACATAAACATACAAATCAATCCTTGGCAATTTTTATTTATTTGTATATTATTATGCGTTCAATTTTATTTCATGCATTTGCTTCTAATCTGATAGCAAACTAATGTCAATAAAATAGTCGTAAACAATTAAATAAACATTATATGATACTCGTATAATATGTGATTTAATAAGAAATATTTTCAAGTTATATTTGCAAGAGCTTGGAGCTTGTTTTTGTCATAAATATTTATTTTAATTTCTCTAATATAATATTTTGAATGAAATTATAGTACTATTTTTTTATTTTTTTTTATATATATATATATAAACTTGAATCATCTTTTTTTACACTCATGACTCACTTATTTTATTTTCAATATAATCAATGTATGAATTATACATATACATTCTAAGTAGTATTGATTGTTATTTAAACAACACATTATTTAATAACTTTTGACAATCCATTTTAATGTTATTTTTGTTTTTGTTGTTTACACCTCAGACACAATGTAAAAAATGCATTAAAAATTATTTGAGAAATGATACCTTTTATTTACCTTTGTATACCTTTTATTTCTAGAAAACATTACAGGTTCTCACCGATGGAATGAAATTATAGGTATTTAAAAAAAATTATTTCAAATATACATATATATATATAATGTAAGTTTATGCATATATTTATATCTTAGCACTTTTAAAGCATAAACAATATTTGAGACGCTATCACATGTTTCTTTTGCATATTAATTCTGTGGATCGTCTTCAGTGTATATTTATCAATTTTATTTTTCAAAAAGTCAGTAATTTCTACTATAAGCTACACAAAATTGTTTAGTTTTGAATTACTATATAATAACAATAATTAAGTATGTAAATTATAAATTTTAAAATGAAATAAAATCTTTATACTGATAATTACATTAATACATATTTTTTTTGTAACTTTGAAGACATATACAACGAAATAATTTGTTAGTGAAACTGACTTTAATAATATATATATTTATATTTATATATAACTTTTTATTATGATTCACCATCGATTGGCTGCAGCAATTCTTCGATGGAAATATAACCATTGTGGTTGACGTCGATTAACTTTTCAATCAGATTTTTCGCAAAGTATTTATTCTTCAAAATTTTTTCCAACGATCCCTCCATCGGTATGCTGTAAAAAAATAACATTGTTCATTTATTTTTTCGTTCTTCTTTTTGTGATCTTCACATCATACATATATTACGAATATTATTTTATTCACATTGACATGTATATACTTGACATACAGTTATATTAACTATAAAATTAGTGCAACTTTGAGTTGATCCTACATTTTTTTTTTTTGAGACAGATTTTTTTTTTATAGAAATTTACTAACTATATTGTTATAGTTACGTATTGTGATTGTTTTATGGTGAGAGAGATTTAGGGGGGGCTGAACCCTCCCCCAGATTTCGAATTTAAGTTATGATATATTATTCACACAGGACTCTCGTATTTAATATGTTATGTTTTTTCGTTTATATAATAATTACGTTATAAATCAATAATTATTAATGGGTTAAAAATGTTTGTGTTTTAATAAATTGAAATATAATATCAAAGAATCCCCTCTCTAGAAAAAATTCTAAAAACCACCATTGATTATGTAAACGTATCATCCTTTTTTAACTAGGTAAATTTTTTTGAAAAATAGAGAGTAATATAAATAATACACCATATAGAATACGCATTATAAGAGAAGAATGATGGAAGTTGATAAAATATTTTTAACCGATCAATCTCGTGTAATCGCGTGTCTTGTAAATTATAAAACAGCCTAACCGTTACAAGATTAAACGATATGAAAATGTTTCGTAGTTACCTTAAGTCTTCAGTTTTTTTTTTTTAACCATATTTACACCGAATAAATTAAAAACAAAAAAACGTTTCTAAGCACACCGCCTTCATTTATTAAACAAGTGGTGCATCAAAGCACATAATACATTTACTTTATATCAAATCTTTGAATCTAAATTAATCTAATCTTTGTACAATTTATTCATATACAACATTAATTAATTACACATATGGTTATGTGGGTATACAGTGGCGGTTATTTTCCATATATTACCGAGCACTTATAAAGGGGACCTAAAAGGCGGCGGTCAGCAGTCTTCCTGATTTTGAAGTTATGAAAACGATCGATTGTGCAAAGCGCATAAAGTTCACAGCACCCACAGGACCACCGATGAAGTATGTAGACGAAACACTTGAAGTATAGAATATAATCGCCATTTCAAAGTACGAGAAAATTGCTACGATAAAGGAACGAATTCATTAAACAATAGATCTCACAGAAATCAAAGTCATCTAATGTTGATAGTAAAAATGAATAGACAGAAATACGGCCGTGGGACGCTTTGGTACATGTAGTAATATTACAACCAAGATCTGGTGGTTTTAATTATTTTTTAAATTTTTTTTTTTTTATTGAAACATCAATGCTAAACCATCATTATTTTTGTACTTACATAATAGTGTACATTATTTTATTTATCAACTCGCGTTGGGGGTGTAATAATGTTATATATGTCCAAAATATACCATGAGAATTTACTATGATTTTCAATACGAATTTATAAATGTTAAATAAGACAGAAAATATTACCGCTTTGATGCATTATGGGATGAACGTTAGTACCGAAAATATATTGATCATTACATAGTACTTTTTATAAGTCAAGAACAATAACTACGATGCAGTCTATGTTATTATTGGGACCGATACGAATGTATGTAGGTGCGTTTGTAGCAGCGGGGATACGCCGATTTTTACTTTTATATTTATATTGAACATACATAATTGAGTCCGAACGTATCAAGAACACCACGCGTGCTGTAACCATGTACAAACCATTTTCCTGGATAAACTTTTATTCGGACCTTTTCAAATAGGCCAAGATTCCCGATATTTATACGAACTAAAAATAAACAAGTTTGAAAGTGTTTTTCTTCCGTTAAAATATTGACACGCAACGATAACTGGAGGATTTTCTAGTTATTTTCTAGTAACAGCAACAAAAAAAAAAAAAAAGTGGTGAATATCAGAAGTGTTATGAAATATTTTTATAAAATACGATACGTTGCAGCGGTTTACCTAAAATTCTGAAAGCCTCAAAATAATAAAAAGTAACCAACATTTTTTTCAAAAATTAAATAATACACCAAGAGTACTACTTTTTATAAATTTTTAAATTTTTTATTTTTAACATAGAAATGTTAATATAAACAATTGCACTGACGTAAATTTTGCTCATTGAAGCTGACATTAAAAAAGATATGAGGCACTGAATCCTTTTACCGAGTATTCCTATGAATCGTTCATAGTGAATGTTTAAACACAAAATTAAAGTACAATGACCTACATAAAGTAATATATTTATCACAAAAACAAAGAAATAGTTTAACTTAATTTCAATGATTTTCCTGAACGGTTTAAGAGGATATTAAAAATGATTAATACCATAGTATAATTATAAGTAGTATGTTTATACTTTTTCTCTTATTTTTGCCTACGTTAACAAATAAAAAAAACATATTTCACTAGCGTGGTAAATTTTCCGTTTCTTTGAAGATTTAATCTACACTTCCGCGTTTTTTTAAAACGTTTAAAATATTTTTTTTTTGAATTTACATAATGTACTGTATTCATATATTTGAATTATGAAGAATTAAGTAAGTGTAAAATTCGATAAAAAAAATGATATATGATGTTGATGATTTAAGTTTTTTTTTAATTTTAATTTGTATTGCATATTTAAAAATAAGACTCATAATTAATAGTACCTATAATTTCTTAGTCAAATGTCTTGATATACGAGTAACTTATTATTAATACTCTCGTATTTGTTTACATATTTTTATTGTACGTACATGTTATTGTACATTTATATTGTATAAGTTTGGAGCATTTTTTGTTTCTATAAACAACCCATTGTAATTATTTATATTAACGATATAACTAATCAATTTTTCAAAATGTATTATTAAAGATTATATCAGCTTAATGGTACTTTATGGTTGAAATAGAGATTTAATATACAATAAACAGCTTATTATCTAAAAACTAGATTAAATATTGGATTCAAAGTTAAAACTTTGTGTTAATACTACTTATTTGTAAATTATATTCGTTTTTATTTACAACAGACATTGAAGGAAATATAGATACTGTTCCACAGTATATATTAACTGTATGTCAGTGAAATAACACTTATATACTGGGCATTAATTTATTAAATAATGTTCATTATCAAAAACACGTATTATTTATAATATGTTTTTCACAATGTTTCGAGTTCATATTTTTATATAATAATTATTATAATATTATTAAGATATTCTTTATCAACTATCCATAATCTGCCTGTTGTCTAAAATAAATTATTTAAAACCACTTATGATAGAAAAAATCAAATTAAATTATGCAGCTTGATCACATTTCATTACTATATATCTGAGTTAATGTTTTTTCAAAGGGCTTATTAAATTAAGTATCAGCTTATTGCGTAAAATTTAATTACGTTTGTTCAGAGTTCTAATATTTAAAATTTTATATCACCGCAAAAATGGCCAGCACTAGATTTACTAGATTTTACTAGAGTTTTATGTAATGCCCTCTATAATTTTGTCACGCACAATTTCAATGGTTCTTTATTGTAATTAAAATCCTAATTTCTGTACTCGCATAAATTATAAATACGCTCAAAACTTACTTTTGATTGAAGCTATCGTCTTTGTTGTCCACAAGTAGATCCGATGGCATTAAATTCATAACATAATGGTCGGCTCGTTTGCCGAATCCTCTAGCCGTAGATAAGTCCATATTTTTGAAGCCTCTTATAGTTCTCCCTTTGTCTCTGTTTTTATGTTTATATTCGTTGTCTCCAAATGTCGGGTATGAATTGACAACTGCTAATATCAAAAATGTGATCTCTATAATCAACAGCCGAACCATTATATTGTTGACTGCCATGATAATAAAATTTACCTAAAACAAACATTAATTTATCTCTAACCATATTTAATAAAAGTCTAACACGTTTATAATTGTTGATTAAACAAAAAAGTTATTCTTAATTTATTTTCAATAAGATATTTTCCAAACAATTCCGAATCGATTTCAAAAAATTTAACTGTACCAAAATTGCAAACTTTTATAATTTTGTTTCATTTTTTGTGTACATAGCATATTTAAAGGTGAATACCTATCAGCTTTTACGATATTTCATAATGGTAATTAAATCTAGGTATTATTTATAAAAAGTTAAAACTGGTTTAAAACAAAACAATACCTTATGATTTTCAGGAGGGAATAACAATATAAAATGTCATGTTTTAATTCATTGGTTCTTAATAGTGATAAAAGGTAAACATTGTTTGTTCTCATCCATTTATGCCACTACTTACTATAATATTTAGTCTATTCAGCTCAGTAACTACTAAGTTTCAAATAATTTAACTATAGCACAATAATAACAAGCTGGCAAAATTGAATTACATTAAATAAAAATTATGTGTAGTTTAAACTCATGTTCCTTTTAGACTCTTCTTTTTCTCTATATAGTACGCATCTATAAGTTTTTGATATTTTAAAAATAGGTATCTCTATTTATATGTAAATAGGTATTCGTTAAACTTTCTATACAATTTCATTCTATCAAAAAGTTCCAGGTTTTCTTGAGCGATTTTATGATTAAATTTAGTTTTTTTCTTTATATATACAAGATCACGTTCAAATTATTAAGGCGCATATGAATAACGTGTAACATAATATTACATTAAATTACCTATATTACTAGTATGTTAAGAAGGTTTAGATTGGCGATTTACCTATTGTTCTGAAAAATTATTTATATTTCTTGCTTTTATCATTATGCAATTTATTCACTTAAGTTATATTATAACTGATTGATATACTAATTTTTTTTTTTAATAATAATATTTAGTATATTATTAATAATAATTTTAATTTATTTAAAAATAAGCTTATGGAACAATATCATATCAAACGAATTAAACGTTTTTTATTAACATTTCAAATAAACAGATGTTTTTACTGATTTATTTGATTTTGAAAATATGCAACTATATATTGAAGAATATTAAGAATAAATTGATTAATATTCATTGTAATAGAAATATATCATTATATTATCGAAACTCATTTAGTATTTAAATAGCCATAAGTATTATAACGGTGATGATTTTGTATTATGAATAGCGTAATTTAATTATTACAACTAAATTATTGCTAAAATATTACAACCAATTTAAATACAAGTTATAACACTATATTCCAGACCAAAAAAAAAAAAAATTGCACATATTGCACAATTGCAATCATAAATGAAAGTGATTGGAATCAGTAAGATTTTCTTTTGTTTTTTCAAAAAATTTAATTGAATAAAAATATTTTTTCTCTCAATTCTCAGTTATATTCTAATCCTATAAATGTTTTTACCTTATAATTCAATAGTTCCAAAAATGATTACGATCACAGAATCCTTAGGAAATAGTTGGTGTTTCATAGAATCTCAATCTATGTAACTTCAATTAACCTCAATTTTTCAATAATTAATTGAAAAAATAATTGGTATTTCAAATAATTTTTTAAAGATAGTTCATGATTATTTTTTAAGACAATTATTGCACTCAATGTCCACCTTGTGGAACCCTTGAGATTGTCCCATGGAAAATTTAGGTTCCACGGAACTTACTTTGGGAATCGCTGGTATAATTATATTTGTAAATAATATGATAATAATTGACATTTTAAAAGGTATTTCTTGCACATTTGTTCTTGACTTCATTGTAGTCATTTTTCATATGTGTATACATATTTAAAAAGTTTTTTTAGCAAATACCTATTTTTATTTACATAAATATATAATATTTTCACAGGTTGATATTAAATATTCTATTCTTTTTCATAAGCTTTTTAGTAACATTACTTAAAAAAATAAAAATTATAAATACGCTAGAACTTAATTAGATTTTATACGAAACTTTCACAAAATAATAAATAAACCTTTTAAAAATAATTTATTGCTCATCTCAAGTATAAATAAAATATTAACTTTTTGGATCAAAATATGAGCATCATACTTATAAAATTAAGATAAATGTACATCAAATTTACATAATTTTTTTTTCATAATTTATGTGACTTATGGTTAAAGACCACAGGGTGTTAAGCATTTCGCAGGTAAATAATAAATATAAAATGTATGGTATTCTACACTGCATATTTGTATCCATTCAATCCAAAGTAATCTGTAATTTAAATTGTAAATATACTATAGTACACAAAATTTTATGGTAGATCAAATCTTAACTTTGCTTCTGAGTTATTTTTGTTCAATAACATACGCATTTGCTGTTTTAAATGCAGATATTGATAATCGCTAGAAACAAAATATTCTAAAACCTTTTTATTCAGGTTACCAAGTTTTTTTTTTTAAATAAAAACTCATTTAAATCAATCTATTAGTTGTGCACTCTAAATAAAATAAAATAATTTTTTTTTAATAACATTAATTTATGATTTTTTTTTCAATTAAACTTTTTTGAAATAAAAAAAAAATATATAAATTAAAAGTAGTTTTATTAGGTTCTAGCACAGAGAGAAACTTTAAAAATATTATTCTTTAATCAAGAAGTAATGAGATTTCCCGATAACTACGATAAAACTACAGAAAAATTACTTTAAATAAAATGTAAGTCATCATTCGTTAACAAAATTGATTAAATCAACATTGGTTTCATTTTTAAAATTCAAGTTGCTTTCTGATTACGCTGTGGCAGTTTTAGTGAAGAAAAATTATAAATTTATCATGCATAGAAATCATTCAATATTTTCTTTGATTATTTTTATCTTTATTGAATTAGTGAACTTTATATTATGTACGTTAGGGTGGCACTCACTTATAGGTGTGAGTTTTTTTTTTTTTATTTGTCTCATATTTTAATATTGTTTAATTTAGTATAAAAATGCTTATTTGAGAGTTTGGTACATATTAAAAAATATTTGAAGGTCGCTCAAGGCATTTCAATTTTAAATGTTACACATTTTCCTATTTTTATGTTATAAATTATCTAATGTATACACTATAGAGTATCGTACATTGTACGTAAATTTTATTTAGTGTTTACTAAATCACTTATTTGATAAGGATTTCAAAACATCATAAACCATGATACTAGTTACATCATACTAGTTAATATTGGATAATCATTTGTCTTCAGTCATTTACAAAACATAATAAACCATTTTTTATATTTTCAAAATTAATACAATAACTGACTTCTAGAAATATTTCCTACCGAACATTGTAAAGTAAAATTAATATAAACTAACTGAATTATTATTATCTGGTTTTGATTTATCATTATTAATATTATTATTGTAATACTTTTTGAACATGTTTATTTGCATTTGAATTACATTTTTTTTAAATATAAATGAACGCTTTATTTAAATTTGATCCAATTAATATTTAATTATCCATTCCCCTTAAACATCTTTAAAACCAACAGTAAAAAAGATTGACATTTATTATTTTTTATTCAAAAACTTTGAGCCAACTAATTTTTACTTTATACAACTTTATTTAATATATTTTTAAATAAAAATGTTTAGCATTGTACTTTCATAATGCCCATACATTACATGCCCATGTACATCTTTGTAATAAATAAATTATGTTAACGCTAAATATATAACACTTATTCGCGTATTTGGAGTAATTTACTATAAATGTAGTAATATAAAAAGAATCAAGAATATATGTCAATTACATTGGAATAATTTTATAAAGTACACTTAACAATTAAATTAAATCAACAAACGATTACATAACAATTATTTTCACAACGTGAAAATTAAATGCAACTATAACAGTGAAAATTACATCAATAAGTCAAGTGAATATTATTTAAACAAAAATAGTATCTGGCTCAAAATTACAGAAAAAAATAATTTATCATGTTTTAGAAAAACTTAATTTATTTTATCTTTTAATCTGTAAATAATAATATATAAAAAATTACATGATGCAAAGCCATCTATTAGTATCTAATATTCGTTTATAAAGATTATACTTAAATTGTAAACAATGAAATTGTATTGTATAATTTTATGGAACTAAACAGGATATTTTCACTATCAACATTAATACTATTTTAAGATATAATAATATGCATTACATCTTATATAACCCAAAAAGGTTTGTACGTCATGAAGCATAAAATAGTACTTAAGTCCTAGATAGCGTACTTTATTAGCATAGATTCTTAAACACTCAATATTGCGAAAATACTTATAAATGGATTACATTTTCTATTAACAGCAAAATAATGGATAGTATTTTCGTAGGGTTATAATTATTTAACATGCTTAAATTATTTGGCCTCCCTCTTTCCTATTCAACAGAAACGTTTAAGATGGAAGATAGAAATAAAATTGATTTTTTTTATTTATTTAATAACTCCTATACATCAAGTATACTTCATCAATAATATCCTACCATCAGTCACAAGATTTCAGAATTTAATATTTTTCAGGTTATGTTGCATTTTGAGATTAACAAATTATGTACACTGTAAAAAAGAAATTTTATCATAATTTTAGATTTTGTGTTAAAAGTATAATTGAAATTTTGTAGTCTTACTAATTTGAAAAAATACTATATTAAAATTAGAAACTATTTAATAATATGTATGAAATGTGTAATATGATAAATGTTTTAAATATTATTTAATACTGTTGTTATTTTAAATAGATTTTATGTATTTTTTTAATATGGTGTTGATGTCAATATAGAAATAATTTAAATTACATTTTTTTTTTTATGAAATATTTAAATAAATATTTTAAATTAATATTTTTAATATTTTTTTTTATATAAGAAGCAAGAAGAAATATTTATGTTAGGCAAAGGATAGCAAAAGACAACGATAAATGCCCTAGATTCCTTATAATATTAAATT